GAAGGAAGGAAGGAAGGAAGGAAGGAAGGAAGGAAGGAAGGAAGGAAGGAAGGAAGGAAGGAAGGAAGGAAGGAAGGAAGGATGTTTTGGATATGTAACACTTTCTCCTAAACATACTTGTTTGTAAGAGGAGAAATTTGGTTTGAGTAAGAGATGTGTTCTTAGAACCCCAATCTTAAAAATCGGGTGATTCAATACTGAGATGCCAGATGTTATTCAGACAAATGTATATGGGAGACGGGTAATTTATGCTTTGAAATGGAAAATAGTTTCTTTGAAAAAAGATAACAACTAATAAGAAATCCTTTTCCCCATCTTTTCTTTTCCTCTTCCCCCATAAAAGATGTAGAAATAAGAGTTTTGATCTTCAATGCTCAGTCCCCCATGAATGAATGATCTTTTTATATGAGGAAAAACATGGAGATCATAAATAATTGATAAATGAATGCCTTTTCTCTAGTTAATTTAAGCATACTCAAAAGAGAGACTAGGGAAAAAAATCACATCAAAGATCTGCATATCCTTTTTTGAGAAGCCTCTCTGTATGTATGTACATAAAGAAATGCAAAGAAAAATGTCAGAAAAATAATGATGCATACATGTAAATCTATTTGCAGAGGAGGCCAATCTTTTGTAGCACAATTAATGATATCTATGACTATTAAACAAATCAGTGCAATTTCAACACGAAATCATATCGTTATGTGTGAATATACCTCATTATGGTCTTAATCTTTCCAGAGCAAAATATCTTAAAAAAAAAAAACTTCTTGATGGTCAAAATGGCGGGGTAAACCTGCAGCAAAAGGTCAGCTGTTAGCATTTAATCAGCAAAGCTTCCATTGCAGCAATTCTAACCTTTGTTACAACACTGAAAATACTCTTATTATCTATCCAGAGTTTCAGTGGTGTAAATATCCAGGAGGCACGTAACAATTTCTGTGGGAGGTATCAGTCCAGGAAAGAAGTAGGGTCTCATCACACATTTATCACATCTGTAACCAATTATTTAAGTTGCTTTAAATAACAAAAGAGAATAAGTTGTATTTATATTAATTATTATTATTCCATTTTAATATTCTGCTGTCATCTTTAACAGGTGTGAGCTTTTATTTATACATTTTTAAATGGCAAACCTACACAAGCATGACTACCTTGCAATCATATGAAACTATCCTGGGATATTTAATTTCATCTTTGGAATAGACACTATTCATCCTTGGAAAAGGAGATTCTTTCTTCCCTTAATTCTAATAAGGCTATCTCTTTTTTTTTTTTTTTGAACAAATTTTTGCTTTGCTTTCTCCCACAAGAACTCAACTGGGAGGGGTTTTATTTGTCAATGGGGGGAGACAATGAAAAAACCGAATATTGTCCGATATTCATGTTTAAATTAGAGTGGTTTATTTGATTATTGTGTTCTAGTACTGTAATCCAGGGCACAATACTTTGTGAAATTCGATTTTTATCATAGATTTGGGATGGGGGGAGTCTTGCACCAACTATTGGACTGCAAATCTTAGCTGAATAAAAAGCTATCAAGAAAAACTCACAACTTCTACTCTGTCCATCTTCAGTGTTCTAATTCTCCCAGGCATTGTTGTTACTCTCTTATTCTGAATTATTAAAAGACACTGATGTCAGCCATAGAAGGTCAGCTGCACAAAACGAAAGAGGGGTCGGGAGAAATGCTTCCATCAAATATCTATGGTTTTCCTCTTCTTGAAAGGGTATTGTTTGCCTTTGTTGGGAAGATCACAAAAATTTTAAAAGGCACACAATTTGAAAGGGTGTCAACTGTGTATTTGGGTCACTGCCATATATACAGAGTAATAAACTTTGCCCGTGAAAGCCAGAGAAATTTAAAAGCATCCATTTATTTTTAGTTTAGCACTAATATGGAAGTAAAACAATATCCAGCCTGCTTAAGGCTGCAATCCTATAAATACACACTCACCTGGAGGAAGTCTCACTCAATTCAAAGGGGTTTATTGGCAAGAAGACTCACTCAAAGGATGAATCTTTTCTGATTAATAGACTGGATAGCTTTCTATCTTATTCTAATGGCAGACAGAGTAATTTGCAGAATAATGCCCCACGCAAGATTTTCTCCAATGGAAAAGTGGCCGACAGCCATTTTGAGATCTGTGAAAGACAACCACACACCTGCCAATTGTCTAGATTAGCTCCCTCACGAGTAAGATTCCCCACTGGAAATACCATTACCTAAACTTGCGTGCTTCCCTCTCTTGTTTGTCATGCAATTTATAGAATGATTGAAGCTGCAAGACCAAGTCTTCTTGGAGCTTGGTAACAAAGAGCATATCTGTAGCTGAGGAAAAAGTGGGTGCACCTTAGCACCTCCCCTACAACGTGGAATAGTAAATTAGAATTATTATTTTTTTTAAAAAAGCCATTGGCTGGTTTTCTTTGAAGTATATACAGTTAGACAGGTGTGATTCTGGGTTTCCTAATCTGATGGGAAAACTATGCAGTTAGCCTAGCTGTTGAGGATGGGACCAGTGGCTCTCCTGCTTCTCTAAGGTCCTTAATTTCTCCCTTGGAAATGCTACCAATTGTTTGGGAAATCTTAGCCAGGATTAGCATTTTCATCCCACCCACTCTGATGCCCTTCAAGACGTAGTAAAGAAAATCGGATTTATTTTAATCCCACCTCGTTACATTTCTGGGATGTAGGGACTGATCGCTTATCCATCAAGTAGGAAAGTATTCTTTGTACATATTTGGAAGCCTTTAAAAAAAACAAAACACCCTAGAATTACCAATAGTGATCAGAACTATTTGGTTTTGCGTCAAGCTCTAAATCCACAGCACTCTTTTTACAACATATCCGCACCCAATTCAAAGAGAGTATTACAATCCCTCCCACCTCCTCCCGGTAAGCAAGTAGATCCCTTGACTGAGCTCTCTTCTCTGATTTGACAGAGTCCTAGAGAAAAAGCAGAAGCCCGAGGACAACATCGAGTTGACGGAAGATGGGAAACCCCTGGACTTGCCCGGGAAGAAAGCACCTTTGTGCGACTGCACCTGCTTCGGGTTACCTCGGCGATATATCATCGCCATCATGAGCGGACTGGGTTTCTGCATTTCCTTTGGAATCCGCTGTAACCTTGGAGTAGCCATTGTGGACATGGTCAACAACAGCACCATCCACCGAGGAGGGAAAATCATCAAAGAGGTGAGCGAGTTCCAGGAAGAATCCTGCCCTCTGCGCACAGCGAAATCAGGAATGATTCCCGACATCCATGTTGGGAAGCCAAGGCCCTACCTATCGCCCCTTAGGTTGTGGTTTGAATTATTCCCATGTTGGAGGAAAAGAGGCGGGTCCTTAGAACAAGATGCAAAGCATTACAAAGTAGAGGTCAAACAAGGATGTCTTCGGAATGGCAAGGGAAAGGGATTTTTCTCTCTTCTTGCTCTTACTTCCCACCCCTTCTTCCCGCCCCTCTGCCGTTTCCCATAGCAGTGAGTGAGTTTTCCTCACATCAGTTGTCTTTTGTTGTTGATTTTCTTGTAAATGACAGCCTGGTCCCAGGTCCCGAATTAAATAAACACTGATCACCTTGTCGTTCTTTGTCCTCTCGAGGAGTTCCAGATACAGGAGTCCTCCCCTTTCTCTATTATTTTCATAAAGCCTCCCAGAGGACTGTCTGGACTTCACCCAAGATCGCCCCAATCTTAAGTAACTGTTGAGACCTCCATCTTCGCCCCCTGACACTTCACTAAACCTGCAAATTCTACCGCAGAAGACCAAAATAAAGAAAACGAAAAAGTGAAAACGTCCCTCGAATTCAAGTCGGCTTCTGATGGCCTCGTGGACCCGGCGTTTTGGCCACAGTCCAAACGCCCTTTCTCTTCTTCAAGGATAGCGATCCATTTTCCAAGCTTGGAATAGACTGCCTGGAATGGAATCGCAGGTGCTGAGTGAGAGGAGGGGAAAGAGCCGGAAGTCCCAGGACTGTAGGCTAGAATACAAAAGGCAACCGAATCATCTGGGAGAAGATAATGACAAATCGCGATTCCGCCGTTGCCATTCAATCTGCATGGCCGGGTCCATGAAGCCATCAGGAGTCGAGCGCGATCCAAAGGAGACCTCAGTCTGCTCCCCTAAAACGAAAATTCAGCTCTTTCCCCCATTCAGGGAGTGTTGATTGAAGTTCCAGTGGTTAAAATGGTACCTCCATCCGGGTTTTGTGTGTGTGTATTCCGCAGGATTGCACCGCTTGTGGATTGAAAGGTAGACCGTATCCTTGTAAAAGGATACGGTCTCGCTCTAGCAATCGCCACCACCACCATGCCACTCTTACTTGAATTAGAGGCGTCCCAGGTGCTAAACTTGACGCCTGGATATCTTATGGACCTACCTCGCTCTAAAATCGATGTGGGACAAGGATGTAGCTATTATCTCGGCCCATCTACTCTATCAGGTCGATAATAATGATTATGAAAACTCATTCACCTAAAAAAAACGAAACATCGAAAAGGCCTGGAAAATGTTGGGAAGTCTTAAAGATTTCTCGAGACACACACACACACATAGAATCGGGGGCGGGGAGGGAATCTTTATTAAGATATGGTGAATTCCAGATAACCTACAGCAAGAGGTCCTTAACCTCAGAGCGTTGGGGTGGTAGAAGGAGAAGCCCAGGGATAGAGGTGCACAACATCAAGGTACAATCTTGACCTCAAGCAAACATTTTCTCCAGGAAGAAAAGGCAGGGATAATTATGTTGAGTATAAATATCTGAGATTCTCCAATGATCTCTCCCGATCCATCAAGAAGAGAACCGAGTCGATAAATGGCAAGACAAGTATCCGTCGTTTGGTTTTGGCTCAGGCCGAGCGATTGCTCAGCTGGTGTAACCTTGTGTGGTCTCTGCTTTCAGCGGAGGATCACAGCCGATTTGGTGTATATATGGTCTGTTGATCGGTCAGCCTAGTCAGAATTGGATGTGTCATAAAGACCCGTCTCTCTCCCCCCACCCCCCATCTCCCGGCAGGTTACCAAATAAATAAGTCAACAGACAGGAATCAATTACAATTATCACAATCGCGGGGGCTCTTGGTATCCTATCCTGACGACTCTATTTCTGGTACAACCCGACCATTAACAAAAAGAGACAAACGACTTGGGATATTTATTCAAACATAGCAGAATAAAGGGACAACAGCTTATATGTGGTTGCGACAGACAGCCGCGGATAGTTCCGCGAAGGTGGATTCCCCGCCTCGCCCCGACCTCTCTTTAGAAATGCTTTGATTTAGCCCGTTGGTTGTTATTTTTCACCACCAACCCTCTTTCTCTCTTCCCTCTCTTTCCTTTTATCGCTTCGGAAGAAAGCGAAGTTCAACTGGGACCCAGAAACAGTTGGATTGATCCACGGCTCCTTCTTCTGGGGGTATATAATCACGCAGATCCCCGGGGGCTATATCTCATCCAGGCTAGCAGCTAACAGGTAAGCGCAGCAGCCAACATATCTCTCTTCTCCGGGTGCGGTGTGGAAGTCAATGTAGTCTTGCTCACACCACACTGTGTGTGTGCGTGCGCGTGTGCGTGCGTGCGTTTTGGTGCTGGTGGTGGTGGGGCTAGCCAGCTCCCCCTCCCCGCCCCCGACGGGTGCGCAATCCCACAGGGTGCCAACTTGAGCTTCTTTGCCGGCTCTGCTTTGCGCACAAGGGGGCGGAGCAAAATGATGGCCTTAGAATCGCCGCGTTCCTTACGAGAAGAGAGAAGCAAACAAGTTGAATTTCCATTTTTTCCTGAAGGACGATCGCTTCTCCCTGGCTGTGCGCTATTAAGAGCAACCAGGGAACCAGTACGAAACAAGGGGGGGACTTCTGCCCTCTGAATACTACTACTTCTACTACTACTACTATTACTACTACTACTAAATAATAATAATAATAATAATAATAATAATAATAATAATAATAATAATAATAATAATAATAATAATAATAATAATAATAATAATAATAATAATA